AACGAATGAATGAACCTAATTTATCAAAGGTTAGGTTCATTTAACGCTCCAGGACCAGATCATCACCGCCTCAGCACTAAATCAGAGTATTGGAAAACGAATTTCCAATTGTGTTGCATACAGTATTTTTTAACGACCCACACGGAAACGGCAATCCTTCTTTGTGACGTCACGACCGTAATAGCGCAAGCAACATACCTTCTAATGATCGTTTTGCTAAAAAGGGACGGAGTATCTTTCCATTTAATATGTTAGTTGAGATATCGAAAAATAAATTTCAGATTTATTGTCGGTACGTTCACTAAAGTTGATTGAAGCAATAAAGATTTTGGGTGAATGTATTCAATTTGAAATGAATGTTAAAATAAATTCCTGATTTATTTAAAATATAATTTACTAGTGTGGTAACGGTTTGATTTACCGCCTCTCAAGCAGAGTGTCGTGGTTTCGAATCCGGGCTTACACCTCTCAGTTTTTCGAAGTTTATGTCCATACAATAACGAAAAAGACGTTGTGCGTTTCTCTTGTGCTCGGCCCGCGCGCGACATGAATATTTTTTTTTTTTATAAAAAACCAACCTCAAAAGTTTATGGAATTATATCTATTTGCAAGTTTTATTGAAATCGAACCGAATTCATCCCTTAATTTGACACGCTTAGAAGTGGAATATTTTCTTCAAATTTGAATAGAACCACTACTGAGATACATCCTTTCTAACAAAAAAGAATCATTTTAATCGGTTCACAAATGTCGGAGTAATCGCGTAACATACACACAAAAAAATACAGTTAAGAAACTCCTCCTTTTTGAAAGATGGTTAAAAATACAAAAGTCTTTTTCTTATTATTTGGACATAAAGCCTTTTCTGACCGCCTTAATGCGTTTCCGTGTCGATGAGTGTGGTGACTCTCTTAATCGAACAATCGGATGTCCGAAATAATTTTATAACCATAAATCAGAAACAGACAAAGGATTTTCACATCCGTATTCAGATTCAGAGATAATGGATAATCACATCCGTATTCACTTATTGAAATTCGAAGTACCTAGTTAGGGTACTTACCATAAAGACCACTGAACAATAAGTATAGTAGAAGTGCTTAGAGGGCGGGACACGTGTGCCAACAGTACGCACAGTTCCGGATACTTGAGCTCAGTCCGCCATTTTAGTTTTTTATATTATGGTCGTGTCAATTATCTCACGCAAAACCTCGAAAATTGTGGATAAATGCTTTATTTGCTACTTTAGAGTGCAAAAATGATAGTCACACCTGTAATATTATCCATGGTGGTATTTCGTAACCACCATTTTAATTGATTTTATTAAATTTTCTTTTTCTGTTTAACATAATAGATTTTTGTTATAAGAAACGAAAGTAAACCTCATACCGCTGCAATATGATTGACTTTTTTTAGAGAACGTTAATCGTTCGGCGTCTCATAGTCTTTCAGCTATTGCCGCTAGATATGGCAGCAAATTCAATGAAATTTCGATATAAACTATAATATACTTCCTTACTATAATAAACTTTCAACGATATGCCAACTGGGTAAAGTTTTAATACAATCATTCCAATGCATTACTTGTTACATTTTTTAAAATAAAATTAGAAACTACGACCAATCAGTATCAAGAAGCCATATTGTTTTACATAGGATTATGTGAGTTTTGGCGACAGCGGTTTTGATAGTAATCGAAGCTGAAGGCACTTCCATTGTTTTTTTCTTTTTCCAAAATAAAGACAAACAGCCAAATATTAAGCTTTACATATAAAAATAATACTAATAAAGAAGTTTAACAACTTGTATAATTTGTTTAGCTGTGGCCGACAGTGCTAATGTTGTCTAGCGTGCCAATTTCATGAAATTCCATTCGCTACCACTAATGAATAAACGCTCGTGTATGGTAAAGTACAATTACATGCACTGATGTACAGGGTGTAGTAGAAATTATTTCGTAAATGTAAGAGATATCAAAAACCTTTAAGCTGATATCGAAAATACATTATCTAATGAATAAAATGACATCAATCATTAAAAAAAATAAAACTAGAAACATCCAAAATTGTAACGATAATTGCTCCCGTACATTAAATATGACATTGACCACAGGCGCTTTAGTTGATCTACATACACAAAGCAAAATGTAAATTAAGTTTTTATGGAAAATATGAAACGAAATATATTTAGTCTCAAATTTGCAATCTTATAATATTTCCTGAGAACATTTGTGTGCGAAATTTCATTTGACATTTACCATAAGCTTTTTGAGTAAGAAAAACCTTGTGACAAAACCTGCATGTCGAAGAAGATTCGCAACCCTCCGAAAACGTGTGGCCTAAACCCTGGCCTGAGAAAAGACCCGTGTCCCGCAGTGATGTTGTATTATTACAATACTAATTTCGCTACGTATGTATATATGAACGTATTAACGTGATTATACAACAAGAGTCATTCTGTGGTCAATTTTAACGGCATTGACGCGTGCCAATAGATTGTAAAGAGCTCGTAATGAGCCGTATATGCAACCAAAGTGAGTGCACATTAATTTGATAAATTGCAATGGCCCAATACTTGTAATGCTGTCAATGGCTGTTCTCATAGATTAATGTAGAACATGTATTGATTTAAGTGGCATAGAATGGTGATTCATAGAACACTAAGAGTGGTTATATACGGTGATTTTTAACAGCGCCAATGCAAACGCGCGTCGTGAAATGCGCGATTTTATCGTTACACTTGCGATTTATAGGCGATTGTATCGATTCAGACGCGCGTGTACGTTCATGCAATCGCTTATAAAACACAAGTGTAGCGATGTAATCGCGCGTTTGTACCGATGCAGTTCCGCGTTTGTATCGATGCAGTCGCGCGTTTGCATCGCTGCTTAAGGTCGCGCGTGTGTGTAAAGGTAGACGATTAGCGACTGCATCGCTACTAAAAGTCGTCGTGTGTAACCGCTTTAATAGACATCAATAACACGTGAATTGCTTAATTATTTTTTCTCTCAATGTTACCGTGCCTATTTGCACATATAAAACTTCTGACTGTTTTGTTCGACGAAAAATTCAGCAAAATAACACAGACTTCGCTAGCCATGGCAAAATACTGCCTACTGAGCAACTGTCTCTTTCACTTCTATGTTAAAGCGATCAAGAACCGTAACGTTTCAATTACGCGAATTTATATGGCACGTCGACTTGATTGAGACTGAGTTAGAGTAATTAGCAAAGAACAGGTGGAAGCGAGAAAGGTAGATTGTTTCGTCTCTGTGGTGAACGATAGAAGTGTGAAGTACCGTAGTGGGCAGTATTATGCTATTTATTTTTGTTGATGTAGTTTTTGTTTACGAAAATAACTGTATCAGTGAGTGCCTGACATTTTTAGTGTTTCCTTTAGTTACTATTGTAAGAGGCATAAGTAGATTCAATATACCATTGTGCCGGTAATTCGTATAGGTGTTGCACAACCGAATTCCCTATTGAAATCTTCTATGACCCAGTTTAGATTTGAGAATATTCCCTGTTCACCAACCAAACGTTGAGTTTAATTAAAATTGACGCATAATATCAAAAAGACATACTTAATAGAAACTAAATACATCTCTGCTTTTTACGAATAAATCAAAATGCTTAAATGTTACACTTATTATATGTAAGGCATTTGGAAATTTAGCATATCAGGTGTATTCACCTAGCTTTTTTTTCGTCGGTTTAAATGATCACGTGACAACTTTGGGCCGGACTCGCCAGATACGCCTTCGTCACAAGTATTAGAATATCTTCTCTACTGCAGCGCAACACCTTTGATGTTCGGCGATGCCGCCGCCCGTTGTCATACGCAGATATTGAAGGGTGGTGACAAAATGAAAACATATTGTGATTGTGATTATTAAATAGCGTTTACATTTATTAACAATAATAAGATATATATGTGTGTGCACTTTTTTCACGTTTCACGTTAAATATTTACGTGACATTTTATTTTTATATGTTTACAGTTTTTTGTTATTGAATTTAATTAGGTATATAAAGTATTCGCATTGGGATGATCAATTTAATGATAAAACATGGGGTAACAAGCCGTGATTTCAATTCTACTTTCTTCGGTAACTCAAATTATATATCTAAAACATTGAAAACATTGTTTTGAACCTGTTGTATTTACAGACCAATTTCAGTACACAAATATAATTGCAAACAAACTGAATTATAAAATTATAATAGGTAGAATTCGCTTTACTTAGGGCTCGCTCCCACAAACTAAGAGTCGTATTGCAGAACTCTACTCAATGCTCAAGTCAGGATTTGAGCAGACTTGAGTATGATTTCAAGCGCTGGAAATACGACCCTAATGGCAAGGACTTGAGTATGATTTCTAGTGCTTTGAATCATACTCAAGTCCTGACCTGAGCATTGAGTAGAGTTCTAGAATACGACCCTTAGTGTGTTTGTGGGATGCAGTCCGCGGCTCTTCCCCGCGATGGTAACGCGGTTGCTGTGCGCTAATATTAAATAATATATAAAACTGTCTAAGGTCGTCTTTTCAAATTATTTTAACATTTTAATTTCAAAAAACAATTTTTATTAATAAATTAGACAGTTTTCCAATCTTTCCATCCAATCTTTCATTGTACATGCCAGCACATCAAGCTACACATTGACGTATCTTGTTCCGTTTATCGAACAAAAATGTGTAGTCTGATGTGCCGTTGTCCGTATATTCCTTGCGGAACTGTATGGTTTATAAAACTGTGTCTCGATCTTGTTTTAAGCCACGTTCCTGTTGACTTCGATATGTAATGTAACCAAAGATAGAGACAGATACTAAAAAAATTACTTAACTAGAAATTAGCGCGAAATAAGTCCTTTTTTCCTCTTGTTATGATTGTTCTCTAGCCCTCGTAAATTTGGTCGTCATTTTTTTCAACACATTACTTTGTTGCTGAGATCGCTATGTGAAGTAAGTAGTACAGTTTTTAACAATCCAAATGTTTGCAGCCACCAATTCGGCTATTCAACGTAACCGGAATCATGGTGCAAGGGGGAAATTGCGAAGTCGATTCCTGCACAGTGCAGGTGATGCCGCCTCCGATCGCGACGCGCGCCGCCTACAGCTGTGAGGTTTCCACCGAGGGACCCAAGTTTCAGATTGCGAGGCAAACTAAGCACATGACTGTTGCTGGTGAGTTTTTTGTTGAGCAGTATAACAACTTATCATGTTTTCAATGATACGCATTTAGATATACATGCTTTGCGATTTCAATTGAATTCAAATGTTTTAAGACGGTACGTTAATTGGTGGTATACATGTGACGCCATACAAGGGCACAGCAAAGTCAGAAGGCTATGTTCTTAAATCACATTATTAAATTATTATTATTACAATTAAAATATATCATTACATTGAATTAACGTGTTTGTGTGTTGTTGTCACATGCATCTGAGTTAACTTTTTATATAAAAATAAACAAATTGGGCGTTTAAACCATAGAGCATAGATGTAGAAAAAAGGGTTTAGATTTCCTTTAATAACATCAGTTTCAATTTGAACACTTCTGTGTAGGTAGCTATGACCACAAAGATCACTCTGACTATGTTGGCTTATGTACAGGAACAGTACATCAAGTATAAACTTTTGTTCGAATGTTGCCTCTGTGGAACGGAGCGAGATCCATCAATGTGTAGCTTGATGTGCTGCCGCCTGTACCTCCACATGTTTTTTTAAAGAATAAAATATAGTTAATTAAGACTGTATATTATTTATATAGCTACCAAGACAGAATTAAAATTACGAAAACTTAGTATCAAACATTAACAACTGCAAGAAACGTTACGTACTACGTGCAATATGGCTTCAACCTCTAGCATTTTCACATTCAATTTTAAACATTTTCTGTCTGTTGACTCCATCCCCAATGTTTTATCTCCGGCGGAACGAGGGCATGCTGCATCAAAGTGCATTCGTTTATATTTATGAACTCATAGCTCTGAAACTACATTTGATGTAATATTTTTCTTTTTGGAATTTTCTCTAAAATTCTGCCACTTTAAAGATTTCAAACATCCTTCTAAAATACTAAGAAATGTAGTTAAGTTCGAACTGGTTTCATTTGTACCTTTGAAGAATCTTATTTCGAAAGAGTAAAGGATATTGACCGACAAAATTACTCGTATTACTATAACTCAAAATCTACAATATAATATAACTATCGTTTTGACTGAACAATTTTAAAGTTTTGGATTGAGATCGCTACTGGTATATTATGTAATGATTTGTGCATTTTCTTAATTTTAATATTTTGATTTTTGTAGTTGAAGTTTTAATTAAATTTTCAAAATTCGTAATCATGCTAACATAGTACTAATGTTTTTTTTTTTATAACTAACGCTATTATCTTAAGGGCATTGGCCTAAAATAAATTTATTGTTAATATTATAAAATGGTCTCACGAGAGAAGATACTGCAATATTTCTACAACATAATTGAATAACATAATACGAGTAACTAATGACATAAAATTTCTGAAATTAAATTTCAATAAACATTATACATAAGTAATAACAAAGTTTATTTATGTAACAAAAAAGCTTTTTAAAATATACAAATTTAAAATCGCTAAAAGCAATTTATTCCGGGCCTACCATAAATAACCTTTTAAAAAACAATCTTAATTTAATGTAAGCTTATAATAATATTACTCATAGTTGAACCATGATAAACCTATCAACCAAGTAATATTTTCTTGCTAAAGTTACTGAAAGAACGAATGATTTCCGAATATTGTCTATTCCTTACTAAAAATAAGAAAAAAATAACGCTGTATGAACTGTATAATGCCATCTCTTTCTTTTTGATGTTCCGAATTGTCCTATCGTAGTATAATGTTAAAGTACTTAATATTATTTACATTGAGACAAATATAACTGCCAAAAAAGTGTGTAATAATGAAATCTATTAAAATTACGTTGTTTTCAATTATTTTTCCGCATTTTCATGAAGAAAAATAAATAAAACAAGTTGAGTCTTGATTGCCACGTTGTGAATTCGGAATTATAGTCTAGTGCATAGATCATACACTATATATTTGAGATAGATACGCAACTCTATAGTTCGGTATTTTAATTACGAGGTGGGAAACATAGATGTCGCGCCATCCGTTTCCTACAAAATCCAGCAGATGGCGTTAGAGGATCTAGTTGTTTTAGCCTAATTAAAAACACGGGATTTTAAATACATTTACAAAAAAATCAATAATCTTGGGACTTTAAAACAGAAATAATCGACCACACGAAGATTATTGATTTCTCTGTTAAAAAAACATGGACACATGTTAGAAATTCTGTTTTATTAAAAATACAATTAAGTACAAAAAGGTTAGTTGGAATAAATCCCTCTATGGGATAAATATGGGGCATTTGTACACATGTATTACTTTTGTTTTAAGTTGTTAATTTATATTTACTTGTTTTGTGGTACAATAAAGTGTCTACAAACATACATACATACAATTTACAACTAATCTAAACGTACTAAAACTAAATAGACCATCTGATATTATTTTTTTTATTTTTTTCGTTTATTATAATAATCAAACGCTTGCTTTTTAATCAAATCATTTTCATCGAATTTCATAAATTTTCCATTAAGAATCCGATTAACATTATTACACCAACTGTGAATAATCACTCACATTACATCCCAAATTTTTCATAAAATAAATTAAGTTTTGTGTTTAACACAAGTTATTACACTAAAATCGCATGCACAATCCACGTAAAATTTAATTTTTGTTTTTAAATTTTGAGATTCGGGAAATTGACGCAGGCATGCTACAATAACAAAATACATTTCATTCATTAATGTCTACTAACTAACAGATCACTGGGATGAAATAATGACCTTTTTGTGTAATCTACATCGTAATTAAAAGAATCAGTATCTATCTCGGATCGGCAAAAATCATAGTTACAAAAATTACAATTTAAAAAAATTTTAGATTTGCATTTTTTAATTATATAACCTGTTACATATTTTTTTGATTCGGCATGCAACACAAATAAATTTTCATTATTTTTGAATTCTGAAGTCATATTTAATAAACAATCAATTTCGCAAGTAAAATGTGGTGGCGATATTTCATTGGTTTGTGTAATCAGGTATTTAAGTGATTGTATTGTTTGATCTTCATCCTTTTCACCATTAGCTCCTGGAGAATGGGGCGAGTTTTGTGAACAACTTGGAGATACCTCAGGATTAGCTGCAGTGGTCACATTTAATGTTGTTGGTGCAGAAGTTTGTTCTGTAAGGAATTATTAATAGTTATATGTTTAATCACTTCTGTCTTTATCTACACCTAACAACCTGCTAGGCGAAAAATCTAATTGTTTTCCAGTGGTCAGATTGATGGTCAGACTGGTCTCACAACAAATATTGTTGTTCTTGAAAAATCTTGATAATTTTACTACCATGATTTTCATATGCTTTTTTGTGAAAATACTACACTACTTTTATATTATTTTATACCAAGTTACAATAGAAACACAAAGAAAATTCATTCGACCCCAAACCAGCTCTGTCTTGCCGGGACAGAGCACTTTGTGTAAAATTAAATCTGAACATACTGTCACATTAGGTATTTAAAATGATATTACATTCCAATGAGTCTTTTTTTTTCTAAATAGTTATTTATATTGAATAGCGAAAACAGCTATTTAGAAAAGATTATTACATTATGTAAATAAAGCCTTAAATAATCATCGTCACATCAGTTGTAAGATGTACCCTAAAGGAAAAAAGTAGTAAGAAAATATGGTGCACCTAGATGTAATGTTGGAACAGCATTTCTTGTTAGTCGGTGACTGGTCTTGGATTTGTAAGTCTTCAAAATGTCTATTACATAGACGAATCATATTAAATATGTATGCATTGCCTTTTTGTTGGGTGTCTGGTAAAAGCACCGTTTTCCACTTGTTAAATCGTTCGGTTTGTCGGTCTTTGGCCCAATCGGGAAATTGGTGCAGTCCTTAAAACAAAAAGTAAACATATTTTTTTATAAGGCGCTATTTTGAAAGCCTCTTTATGAGCCGCTTTCTTAATTGCACCAGCATTTCAAGCCCAGTGTCTTACTTATTTGAGACTATTACATGCTCAGATACAGTTTAGAGTAGCATGGAGAATTACTTACCGCCACCCGTACATCCAAAATAGCATTTAGGATTATTTGGCATGTTTTTTAACTTTCGTACGTAACATGTGGAGGAGTCTCGGAGTCCGTGAGTTGCGCCAGGTCGAATATGCAAGCAAGTAGCAGTGTCCAACTTCAGGTCAGGTAGGGTACAATAAGCAGAAACACAGGTCCTTAGGATCGCCGGGTCGGATGTGGAAGCAAGCAGCAGTATCAAATTTCAGGCCAGGTAGGGTAATTCAAGGAGGAAACAACAATTGAACACTTTGAAACTATAACGCCACAAAATGAACAGTACGAAAACGCGGATGAAACTTTTTTTCACAGCAAGTCGTAGTGTTACCATTTTATTAATCACGCAATCGCATTCGTCAAACAATGCAATGAATAAAATTACTTTCCAAGGTTTTACAGCATTTTAAAAATGCAATTTTATATTTGATGGTAATAAGCAGACTGCAAGACTCTAAATTCTAACTTAAAAATTTAAATCGTATAGTGGGTACGTTCATTCAAGTCAGATAACTTTTGGAATTTTTATGTATGGCATCACCTGTTTCCGTTTACGTTTCTTTACACGCAGGTTTTTTTTCTGAGAAAATTGTTTTCTCCTTAATTTAATGCAATGGTGATGCCATCTATATCTCTATAGAAGCAACTGTGTCTTATTAACTCTGAGGTCAGTTTGTTAGATGGCAGCAACAAACAAACAAAAAATCAAACTCTTCAATGTATGGCAGTTGCACGCCCCTGGTCTAGTGTCAACTGTTCTTGTCGCCAAGAAGCACATAGATGTCGCTGTCATAATTTTATAAAATAAACATCGCGTATTTTTATTTAGTGAGAAATTATCCTATGTACTGTTAAATAAAAAATAAAATAAAATATTGAATAGATATATATAAATAAATAAGTTCAAATTAAGTTTTAATCATTACAAATCAATATTTAGACAATAAAATCGAAAATAATATTGTTTTCATTGCATTCGTGTAACTATTTTAAGATTGCTAAATTTGACATAAGAACAATATCACTTTAATGTTAAAGTCGCGTCATAGTACGTATTGAGTGAATGAATAGTCACAAAGCTGCCAATAAAACATTATAGTTTTGATATTATAATAAGCTTACTTTAAGCGTGTCATGGTACGAAAAGTCCATGTAAGGTTAAAGCAATATTGTTTCAAAAGGTTGTGGTAGACCCCCTGGAAACACAAAAATAAAAGAAGTATTTACGAATACGGCAGGTAATGCAAAACTATAAAGCAAAACTAGATAAATACTTACAAAGATAAAATAAGTATGTAGTACGACATACTATATGTATATGTACATGATTATATTCAAACCAAAGAAAGAAAATAATAAGAATATACAGATTATACAGGGCATAATAGTAACTTAACTTAAAGGAACACCGTTCAGTTATCATCATCATCAACCTATTTATGGCCCCACTGCTGACATGGATCTCCAATCTCCCCTCAGTCTAGGCCATGTCCGCCGTGCTGGCCCAATGCGGGTTGGAGACTTCACACGTCAAACCTTTAAGGTACCATGGCCTATGTATTATACATGGTGTTCAGATTAAAATGAAACAAACTTGAAACTGCCAATGTATCTGCATTTAATTTATCAAATATGACACATTTTCGTGTTAACATGGAAATTCCCGATCTAATGATATTATCGCTGTCTATAGATTTTCCTATCTTGTTGGATAGATGCTTGAAATAAAATGCCTCAATTCCGTATTTAACTTATTCACATTCTCAATTTGCATCTTGTTTAATAAATCTCAATTGACGCAATCCCCAGAAAAATAAATCTAATAGAGTCAAGTCTGGGTACACAGGAAGGATAACTTCATTAAGAGACTCGGTTGTTCTCCAACTGTTATAAGCTGGAGCCCCACCTTGAAGAACAAATCGACAATAAAGCGCATTATAATTCATTTTCCTAAACTTAAATGTAAATTTCATGGTGTTTCTTCCTTTTAAGATACTATAAATAAAAATAATAAAATTAAATAATAATTAATATAATTAACAATAATAAATAATTAAAGCAATTTTCCTCCGTGTCCAATTGCCGTGGGGCATCCTGTATACATGTGTACCTAAGTTAAAATAAACAATTAACAACATAGACTATAACAATTTTTCAAAAGTAATATACAAGGCAATAAACTGTATATATAAATTAACGCCTAAACTAGCATGGCCTAAACCCTCTTTCTAGAGGAGACCCGTGCCCGAAAGAGGGACGTAAAGACGTTATATAATATAGGTTAAATAATGGCGAGAAACTAGACCGTTGCTATCAGAATTGCTTTGATCCACTAATGAAGTTACTTAGTATCAGCGCATCAATGTAAATTGTATCAACCACCTATTCAAAAACCCTTTGTGTTGGTTAATTCCCTTTACTCTAGTTATCTTAAACACTTTGCCCGATTCCGACATAATCTAGTTATTGTTCGTAATAAATTTACATGGACAAGAATCAGTATTGATGATATATTCAAATGTGTTTCCTCTAGCGATGCCGCACAAGGACCCGGTGATAATTGGAGCCCCGAAGTTAGTGAAGCCTGGAGAGCAAATGCTGTTGAATTGTACGTCCGACTACTCCCTCCCCCCTTCCGAGATCAATTGGTACATCGACAATGAGCTACAAAAGGTACGTGCAATACGTGAGCCCCGACAATTTATGGTAATTGCCACATTTAAAGCTTATTCTTACTATCCTCCCTTGGAAGTCGTGGATACATCTCTGTCTATATACGAGTACATGTGTAGTTAATTGTACGTGTTCTGAATTAGCAAACTGTATTTATCTTGTATGTTTACGAAATTTAGAGATTACCATTATTTACATAAACTTGCTTCATTATTGAATTTGTTATTTTTTGGTGTATGCATTGTTAATTTCTTCTAAAGTATATTCGCAGTATTATTTTACATTGTGTTATATTACAAATGCGAAAGTAAATGTGTTGAGTGAGTTATGCCTTTATGTACACTATGGAATAAGGTAATAGTCGCTTTTAGGCCTACTGTTTTTCCCCGTCGTTATGGAACCACACGAAAAGTGTGTTTAGTATAAATATATTTGTAGGTACTCGTAAAACTTGAATGTATTTTTTGAGTTGAGAGCACTTGTACCTTTAGACTCATAAAAAATGTCCGATAACTAATATTATGGCATTAGAAACATACATATATATATATATACTAGATGGCGCGCGATGCGCCGGGCCGCTAAAGCCGCCCGCGAGGGCTTTCTGAGACTTGTGACTCAGTTGAAGTTGAGATTTAAAAAAAATATATAGTTTTCGGTGTAGAAACTGACCAGCGTGTAGTGCTGACATTATGAATATTGAATATTGCAGTATGAATATTGCGGGAGCAAGATATCACACATAACATCGGTCGGGCAGCTGGGGTTCTACCTGATGCGGAGCACTTTTCGTAGATTTCTCTACCTTATAATTCTAAACAAACCAATCTGACCATTCCCTTGCACCATGTTTACCTACCTGCCCTTTTAGGAAAATAAAGACAATATAGAATTCACAGTATTTTTACCGCTGATTCGTATTGTGTGTCACTAAACCTTTTGGCCACAATTTCCGTAAATAAATTTAAAGTGATTTAAATTTCTCTTCAAGAAAAAATACCTATCTAAATGTCTACATCAGCCAGTAGTTACCGAGCTACCGACATACAGTAAATATAGATGGCGCGCGATGCGTTAGAAACATACATACATAGCGTAACTTTCGCCTATTAAACGTACTTTAATAGGCGAAAGTTACTTTTTACTCCTAAATTTGTTATTTGTCTTTTATTTAAAACAAATAAGTGTCAAGATCAAGATAAGTACCATTTAAATAACCACACCAAATTTGGTAGTAAGCCAGTTTGGTTAGCCCGAGAAAAATATGTTAAAAAATAACCACCAGAATCTCACTGTAATCCAGTTTTTGTATTACCTATTACAATAAGCCATATTCTAGGATTTTCAAGCTACACTTCAAGATACGTGTTACAGGATGTACTATTTTCAAAGTTCCACGTGCTATGTTATCGCCTAAAAACTTACACAAAAACACCATATTTAAGCGATTTTGGGCCCCTCATGCTATTATCACTGTAGTTTTCATGAAAAAAAGGAAAAAAGAAAACATGCCTCCACGGAAGTGTCATAAGTCCATGGTAATGACATATTAGGCTAAGTTGAATGAAGTATGTATGGTTTACTGTAGAATAAAACGTATTTTTTACTTAATTATTTTTATTTACGTAATCACTTAGATATTGATTAAATTTTAGGCTTTTTAAAGTATTAGGCATATTCAATTATGTAAATTCTATTATTATTACTTTTTTTTTTGGTACACTAACTAACAGTCTTCTATTCTGTTTTTAATATCAGGTCACATGGGTACAAGTATGTCTAATAATAGTTTTTATAATCAATATTATTTACTTAACACTTTGCACTTTTAGAATCAAAGTGGCCAACACAAAATTTTTACTTTTTGGGAAAATGCAAAATAAGTTTATGATGTTGTGACATTTTCATATTATCTAATTTTTACTCTTGGAGTACAAAAGGCAATGGCCTTGTTAGTGTATCATGGTGCATGGAAAAATAATGATGAAATATTCTGCTTTATAAAAGTTCAACAATTTAAATAAAATGTAATTTACAAAACACTAATTACTATAAGGTTTACTGAACTTTTTTATTGTCATTTGACCTAATAAAAAAGTAAGCCTTTTAATTTTCACCAGCTAAGCAAGATGTTATTACCTTATACGTAATAAAGTTAGTCCCAGTGCCCACTGATAGGACGAGACGGCAAGGGATTTTTAGGTGACGAATAGTAATGTACCTTAAGATTATGACTTTATAGTTGCAATTTTAGTGATAATGATTGTAGCTGCAAAATAAAGCGGTGATATGCTTAGGCATGCCGAGCCTTCAACCTCCGGAATGCCTAGGCAAACTCCGGAATGCTTCAGCAGCCTTATGGATGCCTCGGCAACCTTAGGGATGCCTTACCAGTTTTAGAGATGCCTCGGTAGCCTTATGGATGTATTATGAATGTCTCGGCAGTATTGTGAATGCCTCGGCAGCTTTAAGGATGCTTCGATAGGTTTCAGGACGCACGCTCCGCGTCACCATTGCTCACCTTTAGCTTGACGCCATGCAACTATAGCTTTCAATACACGTCACGCAACGATGTAGCGACGGTATGCTTCAGCACACCTAAAGATGCGGCATGCCTAAGGATACCGTGGCACGTTTAAGGATGCCGCGACATAATTGCCGTCAGTGTGTGCTTGCATATAGGGTTGTTGAAGGATCGACTGCCTGTTAGGGGACGCTTCTGGTCTAAGTCGTGTTTGTAAAAAAGTTTAAGGATGATTTTTTGGAACGGAAACGCCTCTATTCTATTCGGCTAATTTCACCACTATTTCAATAATGTTGGTAGCGATTACTTTTTGTAGTCTTCAATCCAATCCTCTTTGGGTATGTTGTAACTACCTACTGTCACTTTGTGAACAAGTCTCTTAAGCAAGTAATTTACCAATAGTGATGGAGATGAGTATCTGGATGATGAAAGACATCTTGAAACAGAACAAGATCGTATGCTTGGGCCAGCAGGAGATGTTTGAATTAGAAGGAAGATGCGCAATCGGTTCATCGGTTGATTTTCGATGTCGCTTTCCCTGCATGTTCTATCATCTCTGCGAATTTTTAGCCTTCTAAGCCGTTCCTTTCTCTGTTTTCTTTCTGACATTTGATCAATAGATAATACTTATTCTTTTCTCCTTTTCGCTTTCTGTAACGTACAGTCAAGAGTACGTCAAGCTTGACATTTTGTACTTTGAACCGTTCTTATACCAAGCGGCATAGAGTTGGATTTAAATCTTAAGTGTCAAGCTTAACGTGCTCTTAACCCTACTTTTACATTTTTTCCCTATTTCCCTATTTTCCTCTTGCATTTTTTTCTTACGTCTATCTCTTCCTAATATTTTTTCGTGGGCGCCATAATCTACTAAAGTATACATAAATCAAATTAATTACGTTGATATTATATTAACGGCCTCCTTGGCCGAACGGTTACCATGCAGGACTGCCACGCAGAGGTCCCAGGTACTATTCACGGGCCGAGAGAAATATTTGTATGGCCTACATTTATTTGTCTCCTGAGTTTGGGTGTAATTTGTGGTTGTCTATGTGTGTCCACGACACCCGCGACACAGGGTTTCTCTAGTGCGCGGCTATGTTGAGTGTGTGCGTTATATTATTATTTAAGTTAATAGAAAAGCGTCTATTATTATATTGTCACTTCCCTGGAAATTGTGTCACCTCCATGGATAACGCAAATCCACGTGGGTGACGTCCATGGAGGTGAAATTTTAAACTTAAATATCGATTTTTCGTGACCTCAATTTCTATTTATAAAATATGATGAAATGCCTAGATGACGGTTATAATGGCTCATAATTTTATGATGTCTGATAGATCTTAATTGAATAAAATAACATGATGACGTAATACACAAAAGTGACCAAAATAGCAGGCTAATTTTTGAAAAATCGTACTTTAAAGGTCCGTGCGCCAAAACTATTATCCCGGAAGTGACAAACTGTAAAAACTTTCAAGATGGCATTGTGTTTGTTGTCTGTAATTGTTCAGAAACTCTGTTGACTGCGTAGTTGACTGATTTAATAAATTATGGCTGCTTTCAATAAGTTTATGCAAGTAGGTGAAAATTTTTTCATGCACAAACTTTATAAAATATTTTTAATCTATTATTTTATTTATGTTGTAATTATTCAGTCTTTTTTAGAAAGTTTATTCTATGCATTATCGTAAAATAATGTAGATTAGTTTATTTATTACACATAAATATATTTAATTTGAATTTGTGTCATTGTAACTGGACTTTGCATACGACATGGAAGTCACATATTCGTCACTTTCTTAATGATGATTTAAATAAATATTTATATTGTGTAAATAAAAATAAAAACCATATTAATATAAACAACCTTGATTAATTTTAAATAGGAATTGACTAAGTAATACAAGTACATCGTTTTTTAATATGCACAAACAAAGTTGCAGAAATGAGAACGGTCCACGTATATTTCAATAATATTGTTTCATTTTGGTGACAATCAATTTATTAATAATGGAATTAATATAGAATAGAACAACATAAAGTAATGTACATTGTTATTATTTTCTTACTGTTTGTTACAAATAACAAAGTAATTTTGAAGAATCTTTCCTTTTTAGACATATTAAAGCAGGTGAATATAAAACAAAATTATATCCACAAAAATACACCGTAGATGATCCTTATTGGTTCTGAAATTAACAATACAGTTATTCAATTCGTTTTACCCTATAAAATCCTTTCTGGATCAAAGGACTGTATCTCGTCATTAAGATTATGACGTCACTGAATATGTATTGATCATAGGACATTTTTGTCGATTTCAAAGGATTATCCTTTATGTCATCAAAAAGGGTAAGCAATTTTCTTCAGCACGCTTTAGAATCGTGCCTATACTAAATTGTATATTACCTATAATATAATACAAGCTTTCTATCGCTCTGGTAAAACGTATGAAATACATAACACGCTTTTAGTATGATTTGTAGATGGTCAGTTAAAGATATCAGCGATATTAATTGAGTATCTTTAATATCGAAAATGCATTGCTGCTCGTGGGACATAAGATCTTAAGTCCTGTGACTGATTGCGCTGGCTCTTCCTATCCTCCAGAACGAGACATAGTGCTTTGCGGTAGATAATGTACTTACACAGGCGAGTTTTGCACAAACAGAAACTATGCCACTAGACGAATTACCATTATAAAGTTTTCTTGAAATTGATTTAAATTAGTCATTGGTTTCTCTTAAGAAAATAAGAACAATAAATAGTCGAAAATTTCCCTACTAAATTATTGTTTGATTAAGAAGTATACGACGCATACGAAGTATACTAAAGTATACGAGGCGAAAAGTTTTTCACCCAGGTGTTTCAATGGCAAACCAAAATTGTATAAATTTCAATTCCGGAACGAGTCTTACGGAGAAATATAAACATAAATACAGTTGTCAACGCTTGTTTGTATTTAGCTATTTAAGGCACACAGAATTCAATCTGCGGGGATTACTGTTCATTATAGTGATTGAGATCTAACTATGATAGATGGAAACCATTTGATTGGTTCAATATTGCTGTCATGGTCTTTTATATGCTCAATAATAAGGAGATTTTTCGAATAGTATATTACGGTTTGACAAGTAGTGATGTATTGGTTTTTGACAAAAAATATTTTATGCGATCATTATTTCTATTGATGCCTACTGTCACTCAGTTTTCTAATGCCAACAAATGACCCTTATGACTCAGATATTTATCAAAGACGGATAAAATGGAGACGCCCTTAAGGGGTAATACAACAACTTAATTACTTAAAGCCCCATGTACGTCAAAAAGTACGTAATAGTTACGTGAAGTGATTCAGACTGAGATAATATTATTCCTATGATCACTTTAACGCCAATTTGTACGTACTAATCAAAATATCGCATTCAAATTTAGCGTTATGTTCGAGTAGGTATATTCTACGTATCCTGAAGGTATTTAGAAAAACAAATTTTTCAAACAAAAGCGACGGCATACTTGCTTGGTTCTGAAGCATATAATTATATTTAGTACATTTTAAAACATGTCATGCACCACCTATGTACTACGCATTCAAATTTCCAAAATGAGCATAGAAAATTTTGTGGAGCTGCAATATCTATGTTATGGCAAATATACTAAATCTTCCGTCTAGTACTCTGAATGGTGACGTGAATATTTGTGAAGACACCCATTAGAACAAAAATATGGTGTAGTAAAGTAAATATTGCTTCACTTTTGTTATTTTTCAAAACATTATGAAAAATTATTCTGAAGTTTTTTTCTTGCTAGTTAATTTCCGTTTTAATACACTCGTACGAGAATATGAAAAGAAAATAAGATCAATATTTGCCAGAAAAAGTTCATGCGAAGCCTATTGTTTTTATAACATAAGCGAGAATCCAATTTCGTTATTATATTTTTATCTAAGTAAAGCACTTTGGGGAAAATGTAAAGGTAAATTTTTGTACATTCTGTACGTACCAGTTTTACCAATGAGCCAAATACTTAAGCTATTTCTTAGAGCAACCGAGGATGTTTAAACCACAGTCATATAAAAATTATCATCTTCTAGCTATGTCGCACTGTTGTGCATAGGAATTTAAAAAACTTTTTAAGAAACACTGAAAAACATTGGCTTATCAAAACATTTCAAGGAGTTATTCTCAACATGATTAAATTCATTACGTACAATGATTACCGCAATTATTAAAATTATTGCCGCAATAATTGTACTTTATAGGCTCAGAACATGCTATGCAAAAATAAGAACGCATTTCACCTCCTCACTACACCCAAATAATGTGATGTAGATGATGTAATGGTGGAACAACAAATCTGTAGGCAGGGAATTCCAATCCATAGCCGTTCGTCATATGCACGTGGAACCGAAACGTTTCGTGCGAATCCTTGTAATATCCACAACTTAAGAATCCCAGCCTACGTCTAGTTCCCCGATAATGAAAAAGGGAAGGTATAGAAATAAACAACATCTTGTTTAAGGAATTTCAGTTATATTGCTTTTCAGTGTATAGTTGACCACGATAATCCCAAGTGCATTGAAAATCGATACGTTTTTGAATTTAATTAACCGTTTCCGAAACGCAGGTTTTATATGGTTTTATGTCTGTTAAAGCTACCGATTATTAAAAAAGACTCGGACCGGTGAGGTTGTCACAGCTCATTAAAAATACACAAACTCTAACACATAAAATTATAAGGGGATTTTCAAAGTTTTCTAACAGCAACCTAATTGCGTACTTTACAACTTCTCTGCTAAATACACAAAAGTTTGCTATAATACAAGCACTCGTAATGCTTATAAGGCCATGCCTCAATTAACTCAGCTAGGGCGACGGAAACATTTGTCTTGTTTGCAAATGCCATTGTTTTGGCTTGGTTCTTCAAAGAGATATTAAACGAACAGCATCTACCTTATTAAGAAAATGTTAAGCTTCTTTTGATTTTCAGTCGACTTCCGTGACTTGAACAATTTTGTTTTCTTTTTTATTGTTTTTGTTCTACACATTTTAATTATATTCGTTGGTTTGATATTGAGGAAGAAGAGTCGCAATTGTAATAATGAAAATACATATATGTGGACATATAGAGTATTTCTTTTGAAAGTGTTGGTATGGGGAAATTTGGGGAATGATTTTCTTCAAAATAAATGGGACCACTATGGAGGTATATCTTTTCAACAAAAAAATACAAAAACAAAAATTCGAAAAAGAAAAAGTCGAATTGGGAATTCCTCCTGTTTTTGAAATCGGCTGAAAAGATCCTTTGCACAATTTGTCAATATAAAATTATATGTACACATCGAGAAAGATTACGTATTGCTCGGTGAAGTGGGTGGCGGGGTCACTGCCCTTGCGTGGTGCATGCGACTTGAGACCATTTTGCAAAACTTAACTAGATACAATTACCCAGAATAGAAACAAAATAATTTTTTAAATATTTTTAGATGATTTAGCATTATTTCTATTATTAATTACTTAAATATGGCGAGAATGCAAATCAACACATTGTATGTAGGTTTACTCTGCATAATGTGAAAATGTTGAAAAATTGCACTTACGCAAAAGGCAGTTTCTTTTTACACAATCATTCTTTGCCTTGTTACGGGCAATTTAAACCTCTTTTACCCGCTTCTGTGCTACTCAAAAATTCTTAAAAACATTTTAAAATTGCCGCAAAATATGGTCGTTCAGAGAAATTAGCTTTATGTAAGCGTGTTTATAACTCGCGTTGCTCAATACCATTACGAGGACTCATTGTTAGCGACTTAAGCAGTGGCGGTACTCTTTAAATCTTCACTAATGGCCTTTTAAAGCGAACAGTATATCTCTCTAAAACGCTGGAAGCTACACCTTAGAATTTAAAAACAGGTTGAACATTAATCTTTGCGCAAGAGTTCCGTGTTTATTTAGGGAAAAATGTTAAATGTAAAGTTGTTAATGCAAAATATTAGCATTGATTCGGTAATGTTAAAGGCTGGCAAAAATGTGCTATGGTGCTGAAATTTAATCTGTAGTGAGTTGTATCAGTACGGTGTTACCTAAAGCTGGCTTCTAGACATGTACGCTGCTGCCGATGAAATTAACATACGTAAAATTGACGTGGCGAAAATTTGCTTTAACTTAATGAAGTATCCGCTTCTTTGTTGCTTATTTCCTGTGTTTCAGTACAATCATTGTCATTTCAGCCGAAAGACGTCCACTGCTGGACATAGGCATCCCCCAAAGAGCGCCACAACGACCGGTCTAGTGTTGCTTGCATCCAGCGGATTTCCACAACGTTCAAAGGCGTCCGTCCACCTTGTGGGGATCTGTCCACGCCTCGTCTTCCGGTACCTACGCGGTCGCCACTCGCGAACTCTTTGGCCCCATCGGCTATCTATTCTTCGGGCAATGTGTCCCGACCACTGCCACTTAACTTTTGCAATTATTTGCTACTGATTCAGTACAATATTTCCGTACAATTAAAATGAATTACATTTTTCTCTACATACATTCTATTCATACAGTCCAAAAATAATAATCCAATTCATACATGAATAACGTAGCAGCGTTTATTTTCATTTGACTTCTTTACAACATTATAACGATTTTTAAACATTTGAAAAAC